CAAGTAGCCAAGATGCAGAGTAATTATTTACACACCACATTTTATCAACAATGCAACATTACAATCAGCATCTCTGCATTGGAGAACTGAATGCAGTTCATTTCTGGGAAAGATCAAAAACCACAAAACATTTCAGTGAGAATTTCAAATTATGAAGAACTGAGGAACAGTTTTCACCTAACACAAGGCTTAACTTAATAATGCTCTCACTTCACAGACTTCTCTAGGCAACCTTGGAGTACCTTAGGTGTTGTATCTACACTGGCATTCACACAAGGATATTTGGAGAAGCTATACTCCAGAAAGATTACAAACCAGGTCCTTCAAATTTGCATCTTCAAAAGTAATGAAAGAACAAAGACAGATGAGAAGTAAAAAGAAAAAATTCATAAAAGAAACTGAAATATCTGTTCAAACAGTTCCACAGATAAAGAATTATTGACTTAAAGTTCAACTTTAAGGCAAGTTCACACCAGTCAGAAGATCTATTAAGGCAAAATAAAGAGTTCTCAGGGAAAATAATAGATAACTCTCAGAGGTGATAAATTAATTTACAAAGTAACATCAAAAACCACAAATATTTGAGATTTGCTTTATGCTGAAATCTAAAGATCAACCATGTCAGGCATGCCCGGGGTAACAGGAAAGACATGCAAAAACAAGCCAGAAGAAATAACTCCAGTGTCAAACAATACTAGCTGGCTGCAAAAAAGAACTTAAATTAATTATCACTACACAAAACCCAAGTGGCAAAGAAACAAAAAAGGTCCAAATGTATAGCATCAAATTACAGTCATTTGCAAAGATGTTTTAATATCCCATTAAAACCATGCTAATTCACCAGGAGTGAGGTCTTCTTTTTTCACCACAATTTCATATGTAAGCACTATCTCAACATCTTGAAGCTGTATTTTTCCCAAGTGAGCATCTCCCACCCATTTCTATTCTGTACCCTCACCACAGGAATTTACTTTCAGAACATTTTGTCACAGAAACCAGTTTTTGTTCACTCTGATATATTTCTCAATGCAACCTGCATGCCACATATACTTCTTTTTTCCAAAAGGTGTTTTAACTCAATACAGATTCTAAGAAAATGCCTCATTAGGCAGGAGTTACATCAATTTCATATTAACTAGACTTTAAATTATAATTTTTTCTTTAAAAAGTACATATATATTCCATTTCTTACATATATTTGCTCCAAAAACTCCCATCTGAAGATTCCAGAGTAAAAAAAAACTCAAAACTTATATACGATTTCCTTATGTAAAACCTAATTCCACTCGTGTCCTTCTCAGCTGACAATAATGTAGCATTAACCCCTTGCTTACAGGGGATCTTGCCTTACCAAGACAAGATGATCCTTGAGAATATAAAGATTATTATTACAAAAACCAGTCTGTGATAGCCAGGACAGAAAACAAGTATGTCAACACACACAAATTTGCTTCAGCCACATTACAATTACAGGACTTCACCAATTCACTTAAATTAGTCCCTCTGCCTGTTTCAGATTCATACTACAGAACTTAAATGTTTCAGAATATAGCTGAACTCAATTTACAACATTTTAGGATATCCATTTGTCACTTGGTAAATATTAAATTTCTAAAAATGTTTAGTGAAGCATGGACAGCCTGGTCCAGAACAACCTCTATAGAGCTGTTGCTCCCTAGTCTAAATCTCAGAGATGATACATTTTTCAAAAAATTAGTTCCAGATGAACTGTCATTAAACACCAACCTTAGGCAAAACTGCAAACTCTTTTCTAATACAATTGTTTTGCATATTCTGTAAAAGCTCACTAATACTTTACTGAATTGAAATTCTGATCTTTTTAAGCTTGAAAAAACTCTGTTTCAGTCATCTTTGAGAAAATATTCTACTTCAATTTGTACCAAATGTTACTTTGCAAAATAAAAAACAAAATCAGCTTCAGTGTTGGGAGAATGGAAAGTGGGAGAGGGGGTGGTTGTGTATGTGTAAAACCTGGTTTCTGTAGAAGATATTATATGAAACAATGTTTCCTTCTTTCCATATATGTTATGAAATTAAATATGTTGAAATGTTTTAAATCATTGGAGCTGAAGAAACATAACCATAAATATGTCAAAAACCAAATTAGCTCACAAAGCAAAAGGGAATATAAGCAGGATAGAAATCTAACCATCACGTGGACAGGAGTTTAGAGAGCAGTTTCTGGTCTACTGAAATGGCATTTCTTCCTAAGCACACAAACTATTGTCAGTGGATATTCTGTTCTCTCAGGAAAAATTGCTTACAAGATAGACAGAAAGAAGAATGGAAGTATAGTAAAAAAACCTGCCAGAACTCCTCATCTAGCACCTCAATCTATACTAAGACTGCTTTTTAAAATAAGTGAAAATAGAAGGAGATGAAGAGAGAGGTGTCAGACTGATCAACTGGTATATATAATGGAATTCAATGGGCAGTATGAAAATAAGTGCTATTTTAGAAGCTGTTAATAGGAAATCCTAGGGATATTATACCTGAACTCATCTACCCTTCCATACAGTATGAAGTCTTAAAGTACAGTCTTGTAATTTTACAAGTACAGAAGAAGTCTAAGAGTTCTCAATTATTTAGGGATTTATCTTACTTCAAAAAAAACAAAACCAAAAACAAACCCACAAAAAAAGCCCACCAAAAAAAACCTAGAGAAAAAACAGGCACTTGGACAACTACAGTGACCAGGTGAGATTTTATAGAACTGCTTTTTCCTACAAGCAAAAATAAGTGAGATCTAAACATATTGCTAAAAGGGCCATACACAAAACTATGAATTTTAACAATGGAAGATGGCATTAAAAAAATGTTTCTTAAGAATAGGAATGACATTTGCTTTCCCCTCCCCCCAAAAAATCCCAGGAAGTTCCTTTAACTGCTGGGACATGTCCAATACTGTCAAGTTTGACCTTGAAGCAACACCAGCCAGCACACTCAGTACTGGTGGGTGTGTTCCATAAGGTCCCATGGGACTTGTCTATCTCAAATGTCCCCACATGTAACCATAACCCCCCCTTTCCATTAGCTTCCACATCACATCTTCAAGCTTTTGCCATTAAACATTTACTGACCAGAACATACTCAAGTTGGAAGAGTAAAGTTTTCCTGACTGAAACAACTTATGTTCCAAGAATAATTCATCAATGCTTTTTTTATTTTAAGAAACAAAGCATTACTATTAATTCAAGATTTTCTATTTAGATTCTAGCAAATCTAAGGAATATAATAGCTGAACTCAAGTATTAAGTCCTCATATTATGATTCATCACTGTTACTAATTAATTGTATAATGTTATATCTACTAATTGGCCACAAAACTCTCAGTATTTAGTTACTGCAGAGAATCCTGATCAGCCTTGATCTGTGTGCTGACACTGAAGCTACTGCATCACAACTTTCTTTCCTTTTATGCCTGTTCCCGGTATTGTCTTATATAAAGACACAGTAGAAACAATTGACAAAATTTAACAGAGACTAAATTAATGGGGTTTTGTTTACATGTTTTGTTTTCTTTCACACTCCTTTTAATGTATGTGACTACAAATTGATGCAGTTCCACAAGAAAAAGGAATAGGATTGAAAGTCAAACAGAAAAGTCCCCAATAGTATATTAGCCCAGATTTTTTACTGATTATCATGAAGGTTTAGAATGATATTAGAAAAAGACAGGATTCTACCAAAAGCCATCAAATTACAGTAATGAAGACAAGGTATTTTTAAGTTTTACTTTGTCATTAGCAAGTATATATTTTAAATATAAAGAAGCCAGTCTACAGTACATAGTAAACTGGAAAAGGCATCAGGAATGTGAAAATCATGGCAATTACCCCAAACTAAAACCTGATTTACTAGAAAGTCAACCAAGGTACACTGGGCTTTGACTGCAAAAATTTTGTTTCTTTGCTTTTTAATTCTCGTATCATTTCAGTAACTTTGTAAAAGCAGAAATAAACCAACATTTACCCAAACAGTACATATTGAAGGAAGATTAAATAAGAGTATCAGAAATCTACTAGGATCTTTTGCAGAAAGCACGAATTGAAGTTTCAGTTATCAGTTAATATAGCTTTTTGAGACTTCAAGTATTTTGAAATGGTAGTAGAGCATAAAAAACTAAATGTATTTAAGAGCATGAATTCATCCATAAAATTGCAGTCAGCACTGCTCCTGTCCTATAAGTAATTCAAAGGAACATATAAAACAAATTGTTTTTTCACCACCTTTTTCCCCTCTTAAATTTATTTTACTATAGTTCTTACAGGAAACTTGTACTGCAAAAAATAAGCAAACTTATTTCTTGCCAAATGATTTAACTGAATCATGACAGACTTAAAATACTGCAGTTATAAACACAAAATGGTATATTCTTAGATCTGTGATAAGCCACCACTTCATTTAAGTCTCACTTTAGGATGGGGAAAAAGCCCAGGAAGATAAAACTCATGTAGCCTTTAATTAAAACAGAGATACTATTCAGATTTAAACATCCTGATTTATGTGGGAAAAACAATCAAAAACCAACAACTACTCCAGAGTTAGTACCGTGCAGTTAATTTTTGTGAAAATGTGGAACTAGAACAGAACTTTAAATATAAATACGTGTTTTATAGCTGTAACGGAGTTTTTCTTTCTGAAGAGAATTTCTTTCAAACTTTAAAGTTTAAAAAGTTTATCTCCAGCCGAGATAATTTTAAAAAAACCTAATGAACTCAAGAAAACTTTATTACCACATGTCACACTACCTTCAGGAAAACCTTGATGTTTTAGAAAAATAATCAAGGTTGAGCTGTCAAATAATCAGTGTACTGCAAAGGGCATTTTTAAGAATAAACTGATAAAGTTTTAGCAATGGAATTTTAAACTGAAACATTAACTGACTCCTAGCAATTGTGTTAAACACTCAGTACAATGAAAGTAAGTTCTCTTTCCCATATAGAAAAAGCTCTTTATACAATTACTTGATGCCTTACCTCTAGGTCACAGCTGTATTCCGTGCCATCCAGAAGCATCACCTTACACTGCACAGTTTTGATTTTCTTTGGAGACTTCTGAGGAATGTTATCTATTTTAATTTCAGCTGTCTGCACTTCTTTTGTCTCCCTATTTTCTTTTTCTTCTTGTTTTTCTTCCTTTTTCTCTGCAACATCCTCTACTTCGGTTTCTTTACCATCTTCTTTGGAAGGCTGTATAAAATACAGTTAAACAAACTCAGGAAGGAGGATATTTTTAACTTGTTCATTCCTTTTATAAGCTACTAATATATAAGACAGCAACCATTCATTAAACTTATGCACATACTGGAAACACAGTAACCAGCATAAGCATTAACGTCTTCTTTTAGGGATTAGATATTCTTGCTCTCAAACCAGAGAAAGTGCCTTTTTTTCCCTTTCCTTGAAATAAGGTTCTCTGTTTTAAAATATGAGTTATTGGCTTTCTTCCAAAGAGAAACAAATTTGTTAAGAAGCTCCAGGAATTATACTAAAATAAACCCCAGTGTTTATGAAAGCCAAGTGATACAGAATCACAGAATGGCCGAGGTTGGAGGAGATCTCTTGAGATGTAGTCCAACGCCCCAGGGCTACACAGGACAATTTGCCCAGGACCATAACCAGTTGGGTTTTGGATATTTTCACACGTGGAGACTCCACAATATCTCTGATCAACCTGTTTCAATATCTGACTCCCCCTTTTACCATACTAGGAAGCCTATCATTTGCACCCCCACCACCTGGCTACGTTCCTTGCCAAGGGAAGGTCCTATCACTATCAGAGGAAAAGATACTTTCTTGCGATTCGAAATGTAACTTCATGGGTTTAATTTGGGTCCCTTTCCTTTTGTCATCTAACTGCATACCACTGAGAAGGGTCTGGCTTCTGTGTATTCCTTCCATTAGTACCATTCAGGTATTAATACACAAGGATAAGATTCCCTTTTCTCCTCTTCCCCAGGCTGACCAGTGTCAACTGCCTCAGCCTCTTCTCAGATAAAACATTCTCCATGTGCATTCACCACCCCAGAATATGAAGTCTGAATGTTAAGAGCTGACATGCAACTTCACAAAAAGCAGGACTGGCACCTAGCAACTGGAATAGTTGTCATTTTTTCCCCAATATGATCCTAACAAAGCTTTACATGAATTACATAATTCATTAATCAGGTTCCATTAAAATAACTCCAAAGTATTTGAGCTTTCCCACACATACCTGTATTTCAGCACTACTAACGGAGTGTTTGTCATCTGCTTTAGCATTCCCCCGGTTTTCAGCTGCTGCTTCCAAGCTCTTTCTTGGCTGAGCCACACCCTCCAGTGCCTGGCCTTCACTTTCTTCAACTACTTGCTCTTCCCCTGTGGCCCTTTTCTTGGGCTCATCTTTGGGCTCTGCCAAGGTGTATGACTTTTGTTTCTTAAGCCAAGGGGGAAGGAAACGAGAAATGCCCTTGCTTTCAGGTGAAGATTTTTCCTTCTTCTGGCTACTTGGACTACTTTGGCTAGCTGGTGCTGGGACAGATGAATCTTGAGCTTCTCCAGAGGATGTTTCCCTGGACCTTTGATCTCCCGGAGTCTCTGATGCTTCTTCAGCCTTGTCCTTGGCTTTGTCTGGTCCCAGCTGCTCAGAATCTTTCTTTACTTCGGTCTCTGAACCAACTTCAGTTGTCATTATCACAACTGACACTAAAAGAAGCAACAATAAAAACAGTTTTGTTATGTAGCATCACTACTTGTGCTGACTAATTATTTGCAGTGATTTGTAGTAATTCATAAATTCTTATAGATTATTAAACTTATTAGGGTTAAACAAACACTTCTTTTCAAATTTTGAGTTCACAAGTAAGACCAGTAAGCTAAAACTTAGTGCTCTGCAGATAAAAGATCTACGGCCTTCTCCTAGATAAAATTTTAAGTGTGCTCACTGAAAGGCATTTGTTTTATTACAGGTACTCCTAATATTATTGGCCAAGGTTCTTTCAGAAGTAACTTCAGTTCTCTTTCTATTGAGCTCCTTGGCAGACTCAATAAATGACGTTTCAGAAAAGCAACCACCTTCTCTAATAAAACTGGTAGATGCAAATCCTCTATTATTTGGCAACACTTACCAACTTAAAATAAATTATTGGACGTGAAAGAACAAGCTTACCAAAGAATAGGACAAGAGGAAGGTGAGCATGATACTGAGTATAAAAATTGGGAAATTATAAGTCAGTGATATTGTTGAAATTACTAAAAATGCTGGGGAGGTACATTTTAAATTAAGGCAAGATTGGGTTCTTAATAAGAATCAACATAAAATCATATATAACTCTTTCACTCTCATCATTTCTGCTTACTCTTCCTTCAGTGAAATTAAAGACAAATCACAGTACTGTAACAACAGGATATGCAATAGTGACCTTTCAACTTAATGTTATTGGTATTTATTGAAAAAAATAAAAACTAGAATAAACAAATGTTATCTGTGTGGCACTGTATTGCACTGCATTACTTTAAAAGTGTAGTATAATTACTATTTTCCAATTTATTGAAATGAGCCAACAAAAGTAAGCATATAAGGGTCCAACAAAAGTTTATAATGGTTAGATTTCATTATTCGTCAGTGGTATTTACTTACGATCTTCTGAAAACAATTAATTTTAAATTGATGGTCTGTTTTTCTGGCCTAAAGTTTAGCAAGTAAGTTACAATCACATTTATATTTTTATAACATGGGAACCCTCTCTGTTTTGCTATGACCTTTGTAGCTTACACAGAAATGTTCCTGTTCTTTCCAAATGGCAGGTATCTTATTAACATAATAATGTAAAACTTTATTTTCAAAATGAAAAATGAACAATATCTAGAAAACCAAACTCAACTTTCCCTGAGAAAAATTGAAATTTCTGCTGATCAGAGACTATCAATCCATACTGCTTAATTTCATCATTAACAGAGATGGTGGTGATTTTCTTTCATATATTGCTAAGAAAGAACCAATTTTCTCTCAGAAAGTAGCTAAAACAATTTCATAAGACTTGATACACAAATCTTCAAAGAAGTTACAGGGAAACCCCTATTTCTTGCACTTTTTTGTTTTACTTTCCAAAATATATAGAAATGCATTAAATACATGTACAAACTAATAAAAAAACATTATATACCACTCTCAAAATTAATATCACAATTTGATTATACAGTCAAAAAGGAGACATCTGCAGAAAATTCCTTAGAACTAAGCTAAATAAGTCACCCTGTAAACACATCATAATGATATTGTTCTAGCAATAAAAGAAAATGAGGAAACTAAGTCACACATCTTAACTGATTAAATTTACACACAAGAGCAGTGGGTGGTACAAACTTGCTCAATGCAAAACAAGAAAGGTTTTGCATCTCCAAGTGTCCTGGTTTTCATAATCAAAGTTATAATTACAAGGAGAACTTGACTTTGCACTGCAGATGCAAGGGGAACTTGTTACAGCCCCTGTCTGAAGAGGTCTGTCCATGTTCACTTAATACGTTTATTTGATACCCACAGCAGGAGGGATTTCTTTAATGAGCTCAATTTCCTACAAGCTTGCAACTTCAGTGCTTTTTGAGGAGGGGAGAGGGAGAGAATAGGAAAAGGAAGCACACCTCTCTGCTGAGCCTGTGTATTTCTTTACATTCCCAGAAGCCTCTGAATTAACTGTGAAGAGATGGATGAGTTAACTAAACAAGGGCACTGACCACGAGTGTAAGTTACAGTCTTCCCAAAACACCTACCTCCCTCTACCACATTAGCTTGATACATTTATTTTTTGCAGAGTTGCATGTTGGTACAACATTTAGCTATCCCTTGAGAAACGCAAAATTGGGTCTTTCACTCCCTATCTCAATGCTCTGCCAGATCCTCCAGTTTTGTAGTTCGCAGAAAAGATAGAGATATGGAGCAACAAAATACTGGAGTTCTGCCATCAGTCTATTCTTGCAGTTTGTAAAGCCTCTGGTGTTACCTTCACTACAGTCAAGCAATCAAGAAACCCGTTTTTTTGAAAGTGGCTTTTTCCTGATTCCCTCCTGCCCTGGTAGGGAAGACCTCACATGATCTCACACAGCTCTGGTCTAACAGCCAACAGTGTGCCAGAAAGCAAATGGAAACAAGCAACAGACAGCATTTGTCTCAGAAGTGATATCAGGAAGAAATAAACCAGATTGCAAATCTAGAATTCTCAACTTCAACTGCCTGGTTTCCTGTCTTCAAGTAAATTCTTATTCTTACTACATAGCATGAGCACACTAAGTATTTTTGCCCCTATAATCTTTTGTAAGCTCTGTAACAACTGCAGCAAGATAGGGTTCTCCTTATCTCACCTCTTTTGTATTGCAAGGTAACATTAGATTTGTGTTGCATTTTGAATTGAGAAAGGAGAATAACAATCTTCCAGCAAGAGTAGACTAAAGAGAAGGAACCTTAGGGTGATGTTCAAATAAAGGATTACTAATGTCTGAACAGAGAAAAGAAAAATCTTGGTAGATTTTGTAATTGACATTAAGCCTATGCACATTAAACCACAAGTGATAACAGCTGTACCTTTTGTAATCCTCTTGAAAACTTGGCTGATGCTGACTGAATGACTACCTAAACTGGAAGGATGAAGGTGGGGGTAGGATGGCAAAAAGTATTGTAAAACACTTCACAATTTCTGAAGAGAAGGTGAGTTTGTTAAAACCAATCCCACTTTTACAGGAAGCAGATGATCTGCCCCATTTATAACTCCACCAACCCTCCCAAGCAAGAGTGCTGACTAGAAGCAACTGAAGACAACAAATATTCCCACTGCTCTCCATTCATCCCTTCCTCTCCCTCTTTATCGCACTGAGAAGAGACTTAGTGCTGGCCCAAGTTCACGGCTGAAAGGAGGAAAAAGATGCTACATTCTCTCCTTACACTCCTTCCTCTCAGGTGTGTAGATCCCTCAGCTGGTTGATATTTTCCAGTTTCTAGTATAAATTCTTGAAAATTCGTTTTCTGACCAAAAGGAGTCCTGCCACCATAGATAAACTAGGAACAGAAGACGTATCAAATTTAACATGAAGTTTGAAGAAAAAAAAAAGGAAAAAAGAGAGGGAAGGAAAAAAGTGTAGCTCAAAGATCACAGTATTAAAACCAACTGCAGTAAAATGAAGTTTTCTTTGATGATGTGTGTTTTAATTCACTGCTTCTGTTACAGTATTTCTTATTTATCAGCACAGAGAAACAAATACAGATCCTTTTTCCATACATTTCTGGATCACATTTTACTTATTTTCTGAGTATATAAAAGTAAAAAATGCGGTCCTAAACTTGTTTCTTCTTTTTTCAGTTTGTCATTGAAATTCATAGCAAACTCAAGAAGTAAAAATCGCTTTGATAGTTTTATCTCCATCAGTCTACTAAGATTCACAGAGAAACCATCATGTCATAGAAGCAAAAGGAAAAAAATTAACCTACTTCTACAGAAATAAATTACAGCTCAGTGCACTAAAAGCCAGTGTGTGTCTGTGCAAGTCATATAATTTTCTGGATCACCACAGTATTAATAATTTATTTTTTAAATCACTACCTTCATAAATATTCCAAATATCTATCTCACATGGCCTACACATAAAAGAATCCAAAAATATATCAAAGAAAATTTCTAACATTTGAAAAAATATACATGAAAACCTGAAACAAGGTCATGTGTATTTCAGCTGCCTAAAACAAAGCAAAAAAAGCTCCCAAATAAAATTGTTTTTTTCTTGTCATATTATTGATCTGAAGCTCAGCAGAAGCCTGATCTGCATTTCACAGTCGCTTAGGACACATCATTCATGCTTGCTGCTTCCAACATATAAGATTTGTTGATATAAAAGCTATAAAGAAGTAAAATCCCAGCTGGAGCAGTTAGTCATATTTTAGAGTGTAAAAGAACTTGGTTTAAATAGTAGGTAATATCTGAGGAACTTGGTACTACAACTAGATTTTTTCAAAAACGTAAATCAGCTTTTTTCTGTACAGTACAATAATTTATATTTCAAATTTGGCTGAAAGCAGTAACAAAATAAATTTTTTTAGATTTCTGCTAATTTTAAAACTTGTATTTTTTCACCGGTATGTAAACAACAAAACTCATGGTATATCATGATTCTATCTTGCATCATTTTGCTGAAGGTGCCAATATAACCTGCACACATTCTATTAGCAAACAAAGCAAAAAGTAAATCAAATTTCTCCTTTTAGTCATTATTTAAATGGATTACTACAATTGAAAAGACATGGTGTGCTCGGAACACCAAGGAATAAACTCTACTGAGTTATTCTACTGAATGAAGTTTTCAATTTTGAGATCCTTAAGAAAGCAAAAACATCTCTAAAGTTGGCTTAGATCAATCTGCAACATTCACATCATACAGTTCCCAATTAAATATTGTTCTGCAGTCAAATATCAACCCCAAACCATCCCAGTTCTCCCACAGGAACTTGCAACCTTCTCTGTATGTATAAACACACAGGAGTGTTTATACATACAAACATACTTTGAAAGCTGAATCTAATAATATGGATTACATTAATTTTAAGCACATACCTAAAACAAAATAGATCATACAAAAGTCAAAGATTAAGTTTAGCAAACTAGTGAGTATGACAAAAGAGTTACAACAGAAAAAGTAGAGGAAATGGGTACATATTTTATACT